CTGCAAAGATAGAAAAAATGAAAAGGATAGACTATGAGCCCCGTGGAGTTTAAACACATAACATGAAATAGTGGGTTTTAAAAACCCTGAGTTGCATGGTGTTAAAGAGATAAGAAAAGAGAGGCGGAGGAATACAAAACCTGGTTGGGGTTTTTCTTCACTTTCTTCCCCGGGGCAGAAAGGGTAAAAATTAACAACTTTGTACCATGAGCGTCCATGAAATTCAGTAATGGTTCAAGAAAAAGTGTTTTCTGAGGAGTCATCCACAAGAGAAGGCTGAGAAATCCCGATCCAAAACCTTAGGACCGGTGGGCTCAGAAAAGAAGGAAAGAGGTTTTGATGGTAAACAGTGCATTGCACAGAAAAGAGAAGATAGTTCCAGCTCAAGTTTGTTAAAAAAATTGAAAAAATAAATAATAGTAAAATAGTTAAAGTGTTTTTTTAGGTTACTCAAATTTGGGCCGGTAAGCGGCCTCTTCGGCCGGCTTGGGGTTCGTGGGAGTTAGTCCCCTTGGCCCCCAACCTCGAAACAATCAAAACAAATGCGGAAAAAGGAAAACAAGCATACTTTTACCCTTCATCATCCGGGTGCAAAATTTCCTAGGTTTTTATCTCCCTAGGGTTGGGGTTAGGGCTCATTGCTATAGAGCATCCCTTAAAGTTTCGACTTTGCGTACCTCGCCCGTCAGTGCGATGGTCGTTCCCGGCAGTCGTTCTTTTTAAATCCTCTCCAATTCCCCATCTCTTTTTCGCACAAAGTCCAAGGCAACGGCCTTCTCACGCTCTCTACCCCGACACCCCAAACACCCGAAACGGATGCGACCGCGCTATCTTTCGTGGGAAAAGTAGCTTCGTCTAACTGCCATTTGCTTTTTGTGATTGTTCGTGCGTTTTTTTTCCGCACTGTTTTTTATTTTTGGCAAAGGGACGCAAGGGACATAACTCCCACGAGCCCACAAAAACCCGGGTCCAAAGCAGTCTAGCTTACCGGCCAAATTTGCCATGTAGAGCCTGTTTTTATGTTTTTTAAAAAATTAATTATTAATGGATTATATCAAAAATCTACTATATACGCATATTGAGATCAAGCAGTGCCCTCCATCATTTTTCTGTTTCGTTTCTAGACCCCGTCAACATCAAAGGCAAAAGGGAGACTGCAGTTAGACTAGGTATGCTATATCTGTCTGGCCTGATGACTCCCCAGACCTCTTGGGGATAAGCTACCACCCTTTCTTTCGAAAAAATGGTTGCAGCTTCTTGCAGTGTATTTTTGTAAGGTGATAATTCTAGAGCCACTAGCTTTGAATGATCCTGTGCATCTAAATCTGTGTTACTCTTTGATATCCTAACAGTACTAACACTAATCTAATATATGATATTATTATTACTAATATAATCGGTCATCTCCCTCAGGGTCTTTACATATGTCCTCAAATGCCTTCATATATATGGCCATAACCAACCCCTATCTCAGTACACACCGCGATAGTGAGAAAACTTATTCTGAACACATTGAAACCTCCTAACAAACATACCCCAGTCCGTCTGGTGACGCAGGAAAGTCCAGATTCTGCCACAACCTCGCACATCTTGGAAGTAAGCTGAAGACATTGATTTCTGCACTACCGCAACCAGAAGTCACCTTAACCCTCCGTACAATCAGCATTTCGATTTTATTTATGTAAACGGTTCCTATACCCTTAACATAGCTGCTGACGTTTTTTATTGGTAGGGGGAAAAAATGATATGTAGTATAACATGATCCAAGCTTACGCTTTATCTTAAAGGTAACCGTGACGATGCGAGCTACACATCGACAAATGGTTTCAATTTCTCATGACCAGATATAAGGAACTGAGGTCACTCATAAATACAGAAAACAGTGCCGTATTAATTAAAGAATCAATTAGTTGCAAACGATCAATTACTTGGCTAACGATTAATTAATTTTTTTTTTTTAAAGGTAGTTGCGTATCCTTTACAGGACTTTACAGAACCAGCCCCAGCATTTTTTGACCGTTGTGGATTTTGTTGGCAAATTCTAAGTTCAGTAGTTTAACATATAATTAGGCCCATCAACAAAGTTAGTTGCGTATCCTTTACAAGACGTTGCAGGACCAACCCCAACAGCCCCTGGCTGTTGTGTGGTTTATCTAAGCAATTTAAGTCCAGTAGTTTGCCATTGCTTCTAGACGGTCGGCTTTCTTGATACCACTGTCGAAACCAACGCAAGGTGCATGACCAGTGGCTGGGATCGAACCCGGCGTCCCGGCATTACGAAGCGTTCCCATCAACAAACATCGGTAAAAGCTTTGAAACAATCATAAAAAATATATGACAAGAAGTATTATTTTTTTAAAGCACCATTCTTGAAAAGTTTTCGGTCAATATATAAGGAAGAAGACACATAAGTATCACAAATACAGTTATTTGTTAATGACGAATATCCTCACATAACGACTCCCTTTTTTCAATAAGTTTATTTGTCTGTAAAAAGTCTATACAATAAATGCGTGTCAACTGTATTGTGCGTGTTATATTTACAAGCGTCTGCAGTGTGCGTATATTTGTGCAGTAATATTTACAGAGCGTTGCTTCGTGTTTGTATTTATGTTGCATGTGTATGCGTGACTCTGCGAACATATAAAACAAAGAGGCAAGAGGGGGCACGAAAACATAGCAGGCGGACAGGGCGGGGAACGGGGTGAGAGGGAGGAGACGGACAAGATAGACAGGGCCACTCATTTTATCTATATTGCCTTTCGGTTAGCATCAAATGTTGTGAAAAGGTGAAACATTGGATATTTTACATTTCAAGCATTTTATGTAGGAGGAGGGGACACAAAAAGGACTTTACGAACCTGTAAACTAAACACCACATATAAAACAAAACAGGGGAGAGGGAAACGAAAACACAGTTTAGCAGCACGGGGGCGAAACAGCGTGAGGAAGACGGACACAAAGGGGGCCACTCGTTTTCTTGGTGGATGACATAATGATGCTAGTCAAATAGATATACATATATTTTTTTGAGATTTCGTGTACCTTCGTAGTATTGGAACTTTAACAATGTTTACATCTGAGAGTGAACATGGTGAGGGGAGGGGGGGGGCGACACATACTCACACACACACACACACACAAATAAGAAAACAAACAATGGTTTAAAGGGGGGGGCAAATGAAACAGGGTCAGACAGCGCAAGGAAGGAAAGGGGACAGAAAGGGGGAAACCCTCGTTTGCCTTTCTTGGCAGTTGTGGGCGAATAACCCCCAATAGGACAGCGTACGATTTACACCCAGTGTCACGAGTTGCTGTCAGCAAAAAAGGGAGTTTAAGTGGGATTTAAAATTTCAGTATCATATTTTAAAATTGCATGATATGGTGAATAAAACATCAGTAGCATTTTATGTACAGGACATCCATGATTAAAAAAAAAAAACATACATTTCTCCCCATCTTAATGTGTCTTTCCTTCTCCTCTCACTCTACTTCCTTCCCTCTTTAAATTGAAGCAAGTAAATTTCCCAAACTGTTTCGCTTACGAGTTTCCTGACACAGTGAGGATTCCTGTCTCATGGCTATCAAATTGCAGGATCGCTGGACAGCCTGTGTCAAACCCAGGTCATTCTCTGTTTTGCAGTGTTCAAGTGACAATTTATTTCCTTTGGTGACATCCATAGGGCCAAATGGCGTCGTGGGAGAAATGTCCCTGAAACTATCCTGAAAGGCGGAAACTTCCCGCCAGATAGAATGACTTAGACTTCCACATTCCACTGACTTTAACAAAAATTACTGTTAGTCAGCATGTGTTCTGTTTTGTCTCACTTAGACAAAAAACAGTGCATAAAGACAAGCACATTGATCAATTTTCTCTCCACCCCCCCCCCCCCCAAAAAAAAACATCCCTTTTATACCTTTACTCAAGATGTTATTCAAAAATCCCCATCAATATATAGTGAAAATGGTCTGCCAAATGGTTTGGAGTGTACATTTGTTTTTCTAACACAGCATTGCATCTATACTGCCATATCAAAGCACGATATTCTGCCAGTGCCGATAGAACCTTTTCTTGATTTTCTTTATTAGTTTTTGGGATTGTATTTAAAAATATGGCTCTGTAGATGTCCGCTTGCGTTGTTGTGTATAAGAAAATGATGTTTTTTTTTTAAGATGTGTTTTTTTTTTGGAAGTGTTTTTGTCTGTACTGTTGAACATTTATAATAAATGTGTTCTTCCGTTTCTTGTATTTTTTTGTGCGCATAGTTTGCAAGGTATTTTGCATCTAAGTTTTTTTTTGGCTATTCCTTCTCTGGTCGGTGTAATGTTACAAATTAATCTGTAAATTATTACTTTTGCCACTGGTCTTATAAATGGTTTGTGTATGTTTACAAAGGACTTATAGTGACTGGTCCTAGGGTATGCTGTGCCTCTTTTGATTCTAGTGTGTAGCGGAGGTGCTTGTTTTGTTATTAAGTGTGTATAAATTTGTTTTGTTGTCTGTTGTAGTAGTTGTTTATTTCCTTTTAGATGTTTAAGACATTTCCTATAAAAGGAGGGGAGAGGCCCTGCAAAATGTGGTGATCTGTTATCTACTTTAATGAGGTGATTTAATTTTAAATCTATGTAGTAGAGCGCTAGTGGGTATTTTTCTGGGTGGTTAATAATTTGTCCTATATATTTAAGTCTGAGGGATTTAATTTTAGTGATAATATTGTGTACAGCTACTCCTCCTTGTAGTTTACTTTGACATAATGTTTTTTGTTGGATAGCATATATTGTACTGCCAAATAAAAAGGGCCTTATTATTTTATTTATATCTCTTATTATTTTTGTTGGGGGTTCTATTACTGTAGCTATGTATATTATTTTTGGTATTACATACGTATTAATTATTCTACTTCTATCAAATATTGTATTTGTTCTGTATTTATGCATCTCAATTATTTTTTTTTCGCCACTAGTATTTTCCAAGTATGATTGTGTATTTTATCTGGACTATTTTGAAAATTTATGCCATATATTTTAAGTGTTTTAGTAGTTAAGAGCTCTGGGGGGAAATCTGCTTTATTTATCCAAGAGCCCAAGCTCATTATATATGACTTATTTATATTTATTTTGGCACCACTTGCCTTCCCGAATTCTTTAAATGTATCTAATATCTTTGTGATTGAAGTTATTCTGGAGGGGGAAAAACAGTGTCATCTGCATAAGCGATTAACTTTCTTTCTCCCGCCCTAGGTACTTTGGTGCTTTTGATATTGGTGTCCTGTCTAATTTTTTCTAACAGAGGTTCAAGAGCCAGCACATATAACAACGGAGAGAGTTGGCAACCCTGTCTCACAGATCTTGTGAGCCGGAACCCCGAAGTGAGTGTGTGGTTTACCAACACCCTACTTTCGGGGTTCCGGTACAATATCCTTATCCACTTTATAAATTTCGGACCTACTTTACATTTTCTTAACATTTTAAAAAAATATGTGTGTGATATTCTGTCAAAGGCCTTTTCCTGATCTAAGGATAACATTGATTTTTCACTGTTTGTGTACTTAGCATATTGTATGAAGTCTCTTACGAAGTGTGTGTGATTGTGTATGTTTCTATCTTTGAGGCTACATTGTTGGTCTGGGTGTATGAGGTTTATCATTACCTGCTTTAATTTACTGGTTAAATTTTAGCTAAAATGTTGTAATCTGTGTTCAACAAGGATATTGGCCTGTAATTTTTAAAGAGGGTTTTGTCTGTACTGTCTTTTGGTATTAATGTTATATATGATGTGTTGAAGCTTTCTGGTAATTGTTGTCTGTTGAAGGCGCTGTGATAGACTTTGAGAAGGAGAGGTTCTATGATAGGAGAAAAGTGCTGGTAGAATTCTGTTGTTAGACCATTAGGTCCGGGTGTTTTATTTTTGTTCATTGTGTTGATTGTTTGTCTTATTTCTGCTAATGTTATTTCTGTGTCTAGTATTTCTGTCTCTGCTTCCGATAGTTTTTTTTGGTGTACTGGAGAAAAATTTCTTGTGTTTTGGTGTCCGTTGGTTCCTCTTTAAAAAGTTGTTCGTAATAAATCTAAATAGTTCTAATCTTATCACATTTTAAATGTTAATTATTTTATTTTATTTCATATTATTACCTTATTCTATTTCTTATCAGTATCATTTATGTATCATTAACACTTGCATTTCTTTTATTCCCAGTATTGTGATTATATTTTTTGGCCATCGTTTATTTTATTTCATTTATTCCGCATCACATTTTTTTAAACGTCGCTCACGTCACCCCTTAGAATTCTACATACCCTCCATTCCTCGTTTGTGTCTTTCACTTGTGTTTGAAAAAGGCTGCCCGGCCGAAACGTTACCTGTTGTTGTTTTGTGCACGTTTTCCTCTTTCCCATTTTGTTGAGCTTTTTAGTCAAATTTCTCTGGAATTCAATTTAATGTTAAGAAAGGAGGCTTTGACAGGAAAGCCAGGACTCGGCTTATTCTGGCTATTGTTCTGTGTTTGATGTTATGATCGGAGAGATGGTTGGTGGCCTGCTGGTCCATAGTTTAGCCATCATATCTGATGCATCTCACTTGCTGACTGACTTTGCCAGTTTTATGATCAGCCTGCTGGCCTTGTATTTAGCTCACCGACCTGTCACCAAGACGCTGAGTATTGGCTGGTACAGAATAGAAATACTGGGAGCCTTTGTCTTCATTCTCATGTTGTGGGTCCGAACTGGTATACTGGTGTACTCTGCTGTGCTGCGCATTATGGATGATAACTTTGAGATAGATGCCAGCGTGATGTTGTTAACTGTTGGCACTGGAGTTGCATTCAATGTAGTACTAGGAGTGACACTACACCAGCATGCACATAGTCATGGAGGAGGTCACGGATATTCCCACGGAGGTTCGGATCATTCCCACCAGAAACAGAAAACAGAAAAAACAGGTCCTATCCACATCTGCTGTCCACAGCTACGGGAGCTTCCACTGTGTGAAGGCAGGGGAACGAACTAATCTCATCTCGTCTGCTCTGATGGGGAACAGGTGGAAGGTCATGGGCATGCCCATGAGCAAAGGTCGCCCAACATCAATGTTAAGGCTGCATTTATTCATGTTGTTGGTGACCTGTTTCAGACCGTGGGTGTGTTGGTTGCTGCTTTCATTATCTATTATAAACCTGAGTGGAAGATAGTTGACCCTATTTGTACATTCCTGTTATCCCAGTTTGTGTTGATAACAACAATCACAATTATAAGGGACATTTTAGTGCTTCTTATGTAAGGTACTCCAAGGGGTATTAATTTTTCTGAAGTGAGGAACATGTTTTTTTTTAAATCGATGGAGTACTGGACATTCATAATCTCAGGGCCCGATTTTCAGCTTCCACATTTTGTTGAGCTTTTTAGTCAAATTTCTCTGAAATTCTTTGATTTTCCAAAGCAAGTCCATGGAGTCTGACGCGATTACTGCATGCGTAACTGCATATGCTAGCCTCTGGAAACAGTGGTTATCTCCATGGTCATTGTGTTTATTCTGATGACTTCGTGTCCTGAGAGAAATCTATACCCATCTCCGAGGTCTTCAGCATGGCATTGTTGTTGGAAAGGTCTTGTTGTTGATAACTCAAGAGAACCGGAAGTTTAGCCAAATTCTTTTTCTTACAGACGTTTCCAAAATGGCGACCGCTGATCACCAGGTAACCACTAGTTTCTTGGTTTTACACTCAAATTTACTGGTCTTGTTTTTTTTTTAAATTAAAGAATCAGTTTCTTATACCAGTCGGCGAATATTCAGTGTAATTTTTATACTTCCTAACAGCGAATTGTCTAAATTATGTTCAACATTATAACAACCTTCTTCTTCTTCACTTGGGTCGAGGGAGATAAGCCTGTTCTGTTCTGTTTCTAGCTCTTCTGGCCGCCTCGGCCATAGGCAAATCGTGCTGTTGTAGAGTTTCTCTGATGTTATCCTTCCATATTGTTCTTGGTCTACCCCGTGCTCTACGTCCTTCTTCTCTTTCCATGTATGCTTTGTATGGTATGGTGTCACTGTCACAAGGCATTCTCTCTAAGTGGGCAAACCATTTCACTTGCTGTCTTCGTATGATGATGATTGTAATCCAGAATTGGTTCTGTGCCGACTTTTTCTCTTATGATCTCATTCCTGATCTTATCTCTTATGGTCACTCCTACAGACCTTCTCAGACATCTAATTTCCGTGGTTACTAATGTTCTTTTATGGTTTGTTGTGAGTGACCATGCCTGGTACAGAGTTGGAATAAATATGCTTTGAATAAGATATCTCTTTGTGCTGACTGGGATTGTGTTATGCTGTAAGAGGGAGGCTAGCTGTCCCAATACTTGGTTTGCTTTACTGCATCTAATGTTAATTTCTTTATCCAATTTCCCATCTTCGGTAAATGTAGTTCCCAGATATTAAAACTCAGATGCCTGTTTAATGCCTTTGCACTCTATTGCTATGTTAAGATCTGTCTTCTTTTTTCCTATTAACATTACTTCTGTCTTTTCAGTGTTGATTCTCATATTATTTGTTTTACATTCTTCATTCATGGATGTTAGATGTTGTTGCAATTTCATGGCTCTATCTGCTATCAAGGCCTGGTCATCTGCAAAGAGTAACAACCAATTATCGATATCGAAAAAGAAGGTTTTGAGTGTTGCTAATGGCAATGTTGTTCACGTGAGGATAACAATTGATGACGATATTGGCATAAAATGTAAAATTGTTTGGAGTCTAACAGATAGATTGCACTATAACTGTGCCAACTGCAATTGAAAATGAAGAAATAAGTCAGATGTTTTTACAAACGATTATAGTAAAAAGATGTACATTCAAATAATTGGCTCTCCTCCGAACTTCTACCCCATATTATGGCGGCCAAACAAATACCCTAACATGGCCTCATTCGTATTTAAAATGAATACTTCCTGCAACGAACACATCGCGGCTAAACTAGGATTACTTGACATTTCAAGAGACGCAACACTGCAGACGATACTAGCGACCATTGACAATTTTGAGACAGTCAACATTACAGACGATAATAGCGACATGGTGGGGAGACCACGCGCTCTGATGTAGATTAGCGTCGTTGTTGTCCTCACACTTTTCGGCATGCGCAAAACGCGGTTAAACTTACCGCCGACAGTATCCCCAGCACCGGTACGCGCGGAAGGAGATCTAAACTATGTACCTGGGACTCGGGAGCAAATAAATTAAAAGAAGATGCGGTAGCATCTGGCCGCCATAATATGGGGACGAAGTTCGGAGGAGAGCCTGTTTTTCCTATTGGTTGTTAAGGGGGGGGGGGTGGGAGTAATATACCCACTGCTCCTTCTCCCAGCATAAACAAACACTTCATAAATGATGTCTAATTAGAGGTTTCTTTAAAATCAAAAAGTATCTGACTGAGAAGCGAGGAACCAGCAGCGTGCACCCAAAACCAGACCTGCGAACAAAAATGCATGTAAAACGCACATCATGAGTAGTGGGACAAACAAAAAAAAAGCTATATTCCCGGCTTTTAAAATTTTTTTAAATTCAAATTGTTGCCATCACAGTCCAGTCAGAAGAGCACTGTATGGTAGTGCATCACTTATTTATGGCACAAATTTGTGTAAATATAACATTTTATGTAAATATTAGCTATTAATGTTAACTGAAAGTGAATGGGTTTTTTTTAAAATTACTAATATACAGAGTGTTTTCCTCATTTGTCAGACAGAGAGAGCTTTCCAGAAGCAGCCAACTGTGTTTCTGAACAAAAAGTCAATTCTGCAGGGAAAGTCCAAGAAAAACCTTCGTTATGTCAGAAATGTTGGTCTGGGATTCAAAACTCCCAGAGAGGTAATTATTTCAGAAAAATCAAATAACCTGACGACCACATATTTCCATTCTTGGGTGTCCATTTAAGAAGGCCTTCAAAAGGAATTCTTAAGAATTTTTCGCTGACTACTGAAGATAAGGACAGAGTGCTTATAGGAATATCCCTAGTTCTGTGATTTCATTTATCTGCTTAACACTAAAGGAATGTTTTGTATGTAGTATAGTCTACCAGTTTTATTTTACTTCTTTTAGTGAAGATACATTTGATAATAATTGGTTTGCATATAACTTATGTAGACAATCTTTAAATGAGAGTGAGTACAGGGCCACAACAATGTTTAGTGTGAAGAGGAGTGAGCACAGGGTCATAACAATGTTTAGTGTGAATGTGAGTGAGCACAGGGTCATAACAATGTTTAGTGTGAATGTGAGTGAGCACAGGGTCATAACAATGTTTAGTGTGAATGTGAGTGAGCACAGGGTCATAACAATGTTTAGTGTGAATGTGAGTGAGCACAGGGTCATAACAATGTTTAGTGTGAATGTGAGTGAGCACAGGGCCATAACAATGTTTAGTGTGAAGGGGAGTTAGCACAGGGCCATAACAATGTTTAGTGTGAATGTGAGTGAGCACAGGGCCATAGCAATGTTTAGTGTTAAGGGGAGTGAGCACAGGGTCATAACAATGTTTAGTGTTAAGGGAAGTGAGCACAGGGTCATAACAATGTTTAGTGTTAAGGGAAGTGAGCACAGGGTCATAACAATGTTTAGTGTTAAGGGAAGTGAGCACAGGGTCATAACAATGTTTAGTGTTAAGGGAAGTGAGCACAGGGTCATAACAATGTTTAGTGTTAAGGGAAGTGAGCACAGGGTCATAACAATGTTTAGTGTTAAGGGAAGTGAGCACAGGGTCATAACAATGTTTAGTGTTAAGGGGAGTGAGCACAGGGTCATAACAATGTTTAGTGTTAAGGGGAGTGAGCACAGGGTCATAACAATGTTTAGTGTTAAGGGGAGTGAGCACAGGGTCATAACAATGTTTAGTGTTAAGGGAAGTGAGCACAGGGTCATAACAATGTTTAGTGTTAAGGGAAGTGAGCACAGGGTCATAACAATGTTTAGTGTTAAGGGGAGTGAGCACAGGGTCATAACAATGTTTAGTGTTAAGGGAAGTGAGCACAGGGTCATAACAATGTTTAGTGTTAAGGGGAGTGAGCACAGGGTCATAACAATGTTTAGTGTTAAGGGAAGTGAACACAGGGTCATAACAATGTTTAGTGTTAAGGGAAGTGAGCACAGGGTCATAACAATGTTTAGTGTTAAGGGAAGTGAGCACAGGGTCATAACAATGTTTAGTGTTAAGGGAAGTGAGCACAGGGTCATAACAATGTTTAGTGTTAAGGGGAGTGAGCACAGGGTCATAACAATGTTTAGTGTGAAGGAGAGAAAGCAGGCAATTTCAATTACGTTGCAGCAGACACTATCAATATGGAAACTCTTGTGTTGCTGGTGAAGGGGATAGAGTATGTGTGAGGTTATCCTGAACACAGAAGTGTCATCAGCTCTTGATTCGTTTGTACATTCAATGAATCATGTTACACTCATGGTCTTTTTCTAGACAAAAATTTGCCTGTACTTACCAGTGTCTAAAAACACTTAGGTACATGCTGGTACGTACCAAATATGGTCTTAGGCGACCCCTGCGAAAGGGTTGTTTGAGGGAGAGAAAAAAAAGTGTTTTAGACCAGCAGGTTGAGAACCATTGTTTTAGATGGTGTATCCCCAAACAAGATTGGCTGCATTGGATCTCTAAAACACTTTGTCTCCTGTCTTGACTTTATACTGTCTCAGGCTTGCTGTTGGATCTCGCGATGTTGTCCTCCAGCTTGGTATTGTTGTCTCTCTCTTGACTTCAACTTTTCTCTCAAGTGACAGATCCCTGTAAGACAGCTGTGTCTATGCTGTATATAAACATTTTGAAATCTTAAAAGTGTCAGCTACAGCAGAATATTTATAGTCATCATTGTACTGACTAGACTGTCATCTAAGGATTCTCTAAAGCTAACATCATTACATGACCTCGGAAAAAAAGCTTCTCCTAGGAACAGTCATTAAAAGTATCTTGGGGTTCCAGCTGCATTTGGCGACTAAGCGTGTATAGGAATGCATTCATTGTTATAATGTATTTATATTATTTTCGGTTGAAATCTGGAGTCAGTACCGACATAAAAGTGTCTGCTAAAAAAAAAAGAGTAAAAGATGCAGGCTGCACAGTGTTTTCAAGATGACGAAATAAGAAAAGGTTCTTTGAAGTTATTGTAGTTTTTAAAAAATGAAACTTGGTGTTATATGTATTCCTAGACCAGTACATGTTACTTTATATTTGATAACTTTGCTCCTCCTACAGGCTATTGATGGCACCTATATTGACAAGAAATGTCCTTTTACAGGTAATTGTGTGCTGCTTTTTTATGTTTTTTGTCCAGCTAATGCTATAAAGCAGGGCTATTCATCTGGCAGGCCACAGGTTCAATTTAGCCAACAAAAGCCTAGCAAGTGGCCAACGGATCATTGCCAGTTGTGTTGCAATAATGATTTTTCTATGATGGAGTAACCTTAGTTAAGTAAAGGTAAAGTCGGGAGATGTGAACCAGCGTCATTGCACACGGTTATAAAATATATGTGCTCTGCCCCTAGTACGGACAGCTGATAAGAGTTGTCTGCCTGTGTCGCCGTTCGCACGTAACTCTGTAGCTACGACGTTCCTCCATTTACCCCAGAGTGTCAACTCTGCTACCCATTTCCTAGAGGCTGGGTGAACCCCGGGAGCCGCCCGGTTTCGAACACTGACCATAGGCTGCGGCAAGTTGCAGCTGGATTTGAAAGCCAGCCTCTTATTGACTGCGCTAATGTGGCTTCCACTTAGTTAAATAGCCATGCTGTAAAACATTGCAGAGAAGAGTTAGATTTAGTTTTTTATCTTTTACTCCCTCCGCTTCTAGGTTGGCCTCTTGCCTTCTGTCCTCATGTAGTACTGTCAAGCCAATGGTTGATTTTTGTCCATTATGACCAGATGACCAAATCATTTGATTGCTAATGGTTTATCTGGTAATAAAGTTTAGAAGATCTGGTGCCAACCTAAGTGACATTATCAATCCCAAAATATTCCTGTACTTACTTCTTGTTGACTTGTTGGCAGTTTTGAGAATTTTAGATTTAGGTTTGAATAAAATGTGACAAGAAGGGACAAAGTCCGCAATCAGACAATACGTCAAGATCTTGATACCCAGCCCTTACTAACCCGAGTAGATCAGTCACAGTTACGATGGTTTGGACATGTATGCAGAATGGGAGAAAATCGGCCACCATGGCAAGCATGGGAGGCTAAGAACCAGGGAACCAGACCTCCGGGACGACCCAGGGTGCGCTGGGAAGACAACATCCGACAGTCCCTAACTGACAGAGGACTGGAATGGATCAAAGCCAGAAAGAAAACTGCTGATAGAGACGTCTGGCGATCTCTCTGGCAAACCTCTACACCCCAAGGTAGAAGAGGAGCAACTAAGTAAGTAAGTAAGGTTTGAATAAAATACCAGAAAGACTTACACATTGAAGATAGGCGCTCACTTTGTGAAATTAGGAGCTGTGTACGTTTAGAGCATTGACCTTCAAGCAATAATGTTTATGACATGAGGGGTCCAGTATGCTTTTGACCAACAGGTTTAATACCTACAAAGAATTAGTTTGCCTGTGCAACCAGCGCTTGTTAAAAAAATTAGTATATATCCTAACCCAGTTGATGTTCCTTGACTTGCACCACCACCATGTGGGGTTTATGAGATTTTCTGTCTTGTAGAGCATATTAGACAGCTGTCTTGATGTTAACCTTTTGAAACTGAATCATACAGATTCCACTTCTTTTGAAGTCGGGTTCATCTGCCTGAGAGGCAAGGAACCAAAAGTCTGCATACAAATGGACAAGATAGATCTGTAAAATGGATGTGCACAATTCACGTAGGTTCTGACTAGGTTCAAGACTAATAATCCACAGGCAAATAAACTTTCCGTCAGAGTTTACAGACAGTGAACGTGAAGAAGAATCATGCAGATGAGATCATCATTTGTGTGGTGGCGGTGTAAAAGTTGTAATATTCATTCTGCTTTTAAATGAATTTACATTGTCATATAAGCTTTACCAAGATTTTTTTTTTTTTAGGAAATGTTAGCATTCGAGGGCGTATCCTGACTGGACGAGTGCTAAAGACGAAGATGATGAGAACAATTGTTATCCGCCGGGAGTACCTTCACTACGTAAGGAAGTACTGTCGATTTGAGAAGAGGCACAAAAACTTGAGCGTTCACTTGTCTCCCTGCTTTAGGTATGTATGTTTTTTTTAAATTTTTTTATATTGCTGTGAATTTATCATGTGCATTGTTGATGTTTGCAATATACCGTTGTACAATAACTGTGTCGTGACTAAGACAGTGGAATTTTTTTTTTTAAAGAGTACTTTTTGGCATATAAGGGGATCTGGTCTGAAGTTGACATTAGCTGGCTGTAAACTGCGACACGTTCTGATTGTTCATCCACTTCTGTCTTATTGCAGATACATTTTTACACTTTCTCACTCTTTACACTTTCTCACTCTCAGGTGCACATTGATTTAAAAGGAGACACCCACGTATTAAATGCTTGTTAGGGAGCAGGAACTATTTACTTTTTTTCTCTCCAAAATGGGGCCCTGTGACATGGACGGGGAGCCTGAAGAAGCTAATTGGCGGTGAAGGACGGGGTCTTTCAGGAGAAAAGGAAAACCGTATAGATTGATTCACAAGAAAAAACATGAGTCTAGCTTAGACGCCAGGATGACATTAACTGTCAAAGTTTGAATACTGGTGATACCAGCAGTAGGCTGGTTATACGTTTGGCTTGCCTTTCCTCAAGTGTGAAATACTATTGGCCAGATCCCCTGGTGACAGCCTGCTGTGATTTATACTCTGTGGCAGAGTGGATAAGCCGTTTACCTGATGTTCTGAATGCAGTGGGTTTCATTTCACGACTGCGCCATTTAGTTCACCTTTGCACTTCAGGAGACTCCTAGGGATTGTTGCCAATGGGTTAGTGCTATGTTTGATGCTCTCGCTGCTTGTTCTATAGAAAGACCATCCATGATTAAACCTAGTTCAGCGAAGCCAGTCCTGTGGAGCAATTTTCAGCCTGATTTATACATGACAGATGTAACTCATTGGTTATGTAATTATACCTGTTGAAAAGATATTTAGGATGACATGTTTCTGTGCCAAAAAACAAACTGCTAAATAGTGATTTTGTTGCTGTTGCAGGGATGTTGAAATTGGTGACATTGTTACAGTTGGAGAATGCAGACCACTTTCTAAGACAGTAAAATACAACGTACTCAAGGTCACCAAAACTTCAGGCTCCAAGAAAGGATTTGCCAAGGTCTAAGTGACATTACATGATTGCTACCCAATAAAATGTTTTTCTAATTGTCTGGGAACTCATTGATTTGCTGTTTAAAAGCGTGAGATCGTTTCATGCCACTGTGTTTGTGTCTGTGGTGTTTTAATTCTTTGTTTCTTGGGAATTTGAATCATGGGCTCATGTTGACATTCTGGGGCTGTACAAAGTGAAGCAAGTAGGGAAGTAATATTCAACTGACTGGACACACTTCTGAAGACTGCAGTAACAACACTAGTCAGTTTTTAATCAAGAATGCCCCAGGAACAGACTTCTGAGCCCAGTGATGTGGCAGATCCCACCTTCCCTGACAACGCTACAACATCCCCAAGCTTTAGACTGTTGGAAAATCAGGGGCTGCAGCCAGTGTAATACCAAACATGAGATTCTATGGTGCAAACACAAGAAATATTTTACATCAGTTCTGTCGATTCAAAAAGGGTTTTTTCCCCCATGACACCATCTCTCCACAGCACACGACCTCCGTGGCTCCTGCAAGAATTGAACAGCTTGACCATGGAGAAACATACACGCATTTCTAATCAGGTTAAACTATTAAAACTATTAGCATATAGACTCTTTGTTGGCTGCTGAGGAAGGAGATGGCGTAGAATAATGACTTGCTCTGGTCTATAATGTGGTAATCATCTTGTGCCAGTTTTAGTGGCTTTCTGATTGCTGTTGATAAAAGACTGTTGAGTCGGGTTTCTTTTCATTTGCACCTTAATTAGTCTGTCGGCACTCTCATTTCCGGGAACTCCACAATGGGATGGTATCCATTGCATAGTTACCTTACACCGGTTGCCTAGTTTAGAGAAGTTTGACAAAAAAGCTCAACAAAATGGGGAAGCAGAAAAACGTGCACAAAACAACACAAATTACATAGCATTTTGGCCGAGCAACCTTTATGTCAAACCACAAAAATAAAGAGGAGAGGAGTATACAGATCTCTAAGAGGTGACATGAGCAACATTTTTAAAAAAAATGTGATGTGGAATAAATAAAATAAACGATGGCTAAAAAAAATAGTCACAAAAAAATATAAAGTAATATTTTAATGTATAATATTGGGAATAAAAGAAATACAAATGTTAATGATACATAAATGATATTGATAAGAGATAGAATAAGGCGAGGCGCATAGTATAATCGCCAGAGCAAGAATTTAATGCTGTGACAGATATATCATCTTTACCTCTGTGGTTAGAGCTGTTAAAATTAAGAGGGATTGGTTTAAGTGTCTTCTTGTCAATATCGGAGAGGTGTTCCCAGAAACGATCAGCTAGCTTCCTGCCAGTTTCCCCAATGTATGCCTTGCTGCATTGTTTGCAGATTATTGCATAAATTACTTTGCGGGATTTGCAAGTAAAAGGTTCCCTAATTTAGAAAGAACCATTAAGGTTGCGGTTTCGTCTATAAACTAATCTTGGCTTCTCACTAAAGATCATCTTGGTGTCCGGATCAGAGCGAAGGATGTCCAAATGACGAAAGAATACTTTGGAAGCAACCACATTGTTAGGGTGAAAAGTCAAGATCAATTTGGGTCCATCACTGGTGGAATTACATTTGGTGTGGAAAGCATCTCTCCAGGTGACTGTTAAAACTTTGTTTAGAGCCTCTTGTAGAATGTGTTCCGGATAGAAACGGGCACGGAAGAAACAAGTATCAGCTCTTTAAGGTTGAATCATCAGGTCAATCGAAGGGGCTATAAAACTACAATCTTACACGCTTAGGTGAGACGACTAATAGAGGAGATCTGTGTGTCCGTGGGGATCAGAGCGGAGGAATGTCACCAAACGTTGCTCACGTCGAGATCGTATAAGAATACTTTGACAAAGGCGGCCAGGCCACATGTACCGCTCTTGCATCTGCAAGTGATAAAGTCTATTTTGAAAATCATAGTTGTGTTAGCCCATCACTGGTATTTTGGCTGTACGTATCTGGTATTATTTGGTGGTTGAGTGGTCTCGAGGCATGGTGTCCGCTTTGAGTGCTAGAAGTCCTAGGTTCAGGCTGGGATTTTTTGTGCTGGGACTTCCACTGGTCTCTGAGTAGTAGGATCTGACGCCCATGTGTATTCTTGCGCACGAAAAAAAAATCCCTGGCTGTTGGAAATCGAAAAGAGCAGCCTAAGCCCGAGCAAAATTTGAAGTTAAAAAATCTACCTAAAGTATTTCATCTACAGAGACTCAGGCAGTCTTATGTGTTACTACCCCTTGTGCCATCAGTTGCGCAAACTGGTATATTATTGGATGCTCAATGTACAGTCCTGGCATGTCTTTGAATACTGTGAGTATTCATCAAGTAGACAGAGTTTTTACACGGTTTAATGGGTCACTCCTTTTACTTCTGTAGTTACGTCATATTGCAGGAGATAATGTCCATGGGTGCTGTATGACCCAATCCGAATCACATTTTTTTGATTAACAAGTCTTCTGGTGTGCGTCTCATTTTTTGCTATGCCGATCTTAATTCTAAAGTCTGCCATTCTAGCGAGTGATGTGGGTTCACTGCAACCAGAATCCTATATCCTTCCCATTACTCTGAGGACATTAATAATAGCATGAACATATGCGAGCAGATAACCACCGACATCATTATGTGTGGGGACTTCAATGCCAAAGGTCGTCTATGGGGCAATCTGACGGTCAATAAACAGGGCGAGGCACTGGAGGAAGCACTAACAGACACGGATTTAATCTGCTTGAATGATGGCAGACCCACCAGAATCCCCGACAGAGAAGGTGATACTGACAGTGCCCTTGATCTCACGCTGGTCTCTCCCAGTATGAGTGCACTTTGCCAGTGGGGCGTACTGGGACATCATGGAAGCGACCACCTTCCATGTTGGATTCTGGTCAAAAAAAACAATCTGCACAAGGTATCAGAGACCAGCCACTTCTTTCCAGTATGCTGCAAATCAGCCTGATGTAATTGGGCGTCTGCGAGACAGGTCACGCAGAACACCGGGAAAGGAATGCTATTTTTTCAACAGCCCCCGTGGTGGACACCTGAAGTCGCAGAAGCCTGGACAGAGAAACGAGGTGCCACCAAAGACTGGGAGAAATGCAGAAAGTCTTCGAATTTTACTGAGGCGCAGAAACAAGACATTAAACACAAAAAAGACAGACTCACTGAACATTTTAAACAACTCGCAAAGGAGTCTAAGCACACAATGTGGGAACATTTTTGTCAAGAAATAGGCTACGAAAAATCTCTCAGAAAATTCTGGCGGCTCCACCAAAAGATGAACGGAGGCAAACAAACCTCTGTTATGCCCGAGCTAAAGATGGACAACAGGGTGGTGTTAAAATCGGATAAAGACAAAGGGGAGGCTATCCTGCACAGATTTCTCCTGCAGACGGAAAAGAAAGACAGGGAAGATAGGGAGCAGATGAAACAGAATTTACATGATATCCAGATGGCTGAAATCGAGGAAGATGATGATACAGTATACATCTCAACGGACTGCATCAAAGCAACACTGAAGACCTGGCATTAGATACAGCGACTTCAAAAGCCTCGATATGACAGATATGGATGAACTATCCACGATTTTTAACAACACCATGAAAACTGGCATTATTCCTGATGACTGGCTCCACAGCTATCTCAGACCAGTTCCTAAGCCAGGAAAAGACCACACGAGAATAAATGGCTATAGGATCATAACACTTCAGAACACGGTAGGAAAACATCGTTGCCAGAACGTTAACCCAAAAATTAGAGTCGGGTGGTCTATTCCCCGCTACACTAGGTGGTTACCGACCAGGAAGAGATACATGGTGCAATGCTGCAGTATTTGCTTACGACACATATGAGGGTTTTCAGGAGGGAATGGAAACTGCTGCAGCCGCTATTGACTTAGAAGATGCGTACAACAGCGTCCCATACAACATGCTCATCAGACTGCTGTTGGATATGCAGATAGAGACAAAGTTGGTCAACTGGATCGCAGCAGCGTTTTTTGAAAGAACAGTGTCGCTTCGATGTGGTAAATGGGCATCCGAACCTCAACGAGTCCTAATGGGTCTGCCACAGGGATCACCACTGTCGCCTGTGCTCTTCAATGTGTACACAGCAGGAGTCACTAGTGCACAACGCGTAGGTCTAGGTAGAACAATGTCGTATGCAGATGATATTCTTGTTTACCGTCGAGGTAAAAACAGGCAGGAAATTACAACCACACTACAACACGAACTGGACAGACTTAGTGAGTGGTGCCAGGAATCAAGAGCTCATGTGAACCCGTCCAAAGCCTCCTTAACATGGTTCTCTCTAAATACTCACATCGTCAATACACCAACGCCAGTCGTAAGCATATGTGGTGTGGACATCGAGAGAACGGACACCATGAAATACCTGGGTATGACATTTGACAGATGCTTGTCATACAAATGCCACGTAGACAACGTCATACTTAGAGCCAGAAAAGGTCTGACAGCACTCAAGGTGCTAGCAGCAGCTGATATTGAACAACGCCTACTTTTCCTTCTCTATCAAGGGCTTGTGCTTAGCGTCATTGACTATGGTCTTGGCCTCCTCACTGTCAGCAAAACCCAGCTAGAAAGACTGGACCGAGTACAAAATGAGGCCATGAGACTCATACTCGGCTGCACAAAAGACACCTCCTGCAACGCCATGCGTTATGTCCTGGGTTTGCCGACGATGACTAGCAGATACAAAGTGGCACAAGTCAAGGCTTACATGAGGGTATCGGCAGACGCTAACCACCCATTGCACAAAGCTATATACGACACAAAAGGAACGCGTCTCAAAAGAGGCCGCTCTTGGATGGCAAAGGCTGAGAATTTGATCCAGCAGGTATGTGACCTACGCGTTATCAGGCACGGAAAAGAATGGATGAATACACCAGTAGACATGCATGGCATCTCTAAGGTTGTCATCACACTAGGAAGGTACTGTCAGGATCAGATTCCTGCGGCGATAGACACAAAAGTAAGGGAACTGATAGATCAGCATTCAGACCCAGAAGATATCATCATCTACACAGATGGGTCCGTGAAGCGCGGATCAAGGTCAGCATGGGCATACACAGCGCAAAGAAGGGGGAAAACAATACATGAAGATAGCGGCGCTTACAAGACAACCACGTCAAGCATGACCATGGAAATAGCCGCTGCTTCTAGAGCTTTAGCATGGGTATCCGAGCAAACCGCCACACAAGCAGTAATTGTCTCAGACTCAATGAATATGCTTCAGAAAATAGCAACTGGCAGTATGCGCTCTGAATGGATAGAAAGCATTCGGAAATCGCACTTAACTTCCGTAACCTGGATCTACACACCGGGTCATGCGGGCGTAAAGGGAAATGAGCGAGCGGACCAACTGGCAAGCACAGCACTAATGATTGCGGGAAAAAGCATGGACAGAGCAGATATCGTTAACGCTGTACGTACTGGGCTAGTGGATAATATCGAATCCCTGACACTAACACGATTGCGTGACATGGGAGTTAAGCATGGTGAAGCACGTCTTTGCCGTCTGCGAGGCCGAGAAAGGAGACAATATAACCAGCTTCTCATGGGGACAATTAGTAGAAGTACTTTGGAGTGGCTGCTGCTTCGGAGGACTGCGCACGCATGGGGGTATGCCCAATGTGCAGTGACGTCGATTGTGATAACAAAAAAACACAAAATTACATTTTGTAGGAAGTCGGCATTCCGAAACCCAAGTTCAAGGTGTCTCCTTCGTGCCAAAGAACTGCATGGCTGTTGGGTGAACAGTCGTTAACGAAGGCAGTCAGTCAGGTCGTTGTAGGGGCGACGCTTGCTGGTGGATGTAATGTCCTAAGTCCCTTTCCCAGCTAATAGTGAGGGTACTGCTGGGGTGACCATTTGTTAACCCCTCACATAATGCTTCAAGTCACAGTGGACGCTAGGCACGGCCACTTTTTTTTTTTTTTTTTTAGCCGTGGCAGTTCTGCCAGGCGGTGGCCGTTGCATTTTTGCTCCATTTGTAGAATGGAAGGGTATGGTTTCGTCACCCAGCTTCTGAGTTGAGTGCATGGTGTGACACTGTGAGCTACGAGTGTTTTTCGTTGGCACAGGAGCGGAGCAACAATGGGGTGACCCGTTTGCTATGATGCTGAAACTAGGATTACCAGATTACCAGAATAATAGCATGATCCATAGGCTGACCGTCGGTAGTGATAGCGGATCCAGCCAACCTATCAGACCCATCCGGATCATACTCATTGAATCACTGAGTATACACACACGGGTGTATTTTTTGTGTTTCGCGCCAGGCAAACGTTTGCGTCACTGCCATCACCATGCTGCTGGTTGTCATGGAGAAGGCACCGTTAGCTTCTTTGACTGTTCTGCCTGCTGAGCGTGCTGTGAATTCTTTTACTTCTGACTGGGTGTATATCGGCACCGTCTTGATAGCGAACTTATGCTTCACTGATTATACGAAAGTTTTCAACTGTGAAACAACAAGATTAAAACTATTGGAAAAGCTGAACAATGACGAAAAAACATTTCAGAGCACAAAGAGGGGGTGTTAGACAAGGCTGTATTGTACTATAACCAGATTTGTTTGCATTATACAGTGAAAATATAATGAAATCTATCATGGATATGCCAGGAATTGTGTGGTCAGACCTTATACAACCTGACACCGTCTTGATAGCCACAAGTCAGAAAGAACTACAGGAATTGATAGATGTGGTGGTGGTAAAAAAAGTGATAAAACAGGCCTGTTTGAATAATATGAAGACCGAAGTAAGGGTGGTCTCAAAAAAAAAAAAAAAAGGGGGCCTAAATGTAAAATAAAACAGTCAAAGGCGTTATTTTGGAACAAGTACATAAATTTAAGTATCTGGGCACATGTTTAACATCCGATGGAAGATAAAGAACAGAATAGGACACACCTGAAGCATTTTATGAAATAAATCCCTGTGAACCCTGGACTTAAAATTAAAAAACAAGCCAAACAATAACTCTGAGGCTTCAATATCTTGAACCCTCAGAGATGTGGTTTTACAGAAGAATCCTTAGAATTCCATTGACATCTTTGAAGAGCGACCCATGTTTTGAAAAAGACAGCTTATCAACCAACATTAGAAACGAACAAATCATTTTTTGGTCATGTTACGAGAAGAAGGAAAATAGAAAAGGTTCACTACTGGAAAGATTTGTGGAATGAGAGACAAGAGGAAGACAAGCCCGAGACTGCCTTGTCATGGCGGGGTGTCTACACACGAGCTGATGCAGATCTCCGACTGTAGAGACAACCGCAGAAATTAAGTATCTAGGCACAATGACAACATCTGACAGAAGATTTAACACTGATACAGAACTGAATGAAGTGGTTTGGTCATTTAGTAAGAATGCATCCGGATCAGATTGCCTATAAGGCCTTTTACAATAGAACATCGGGAAGAAAGGCCAGAGGAAGACCCAGGAAAAAATGGATAGATGGGAGTAGCTGAATACAACCAGAAGATCCAGAAAACTCACTCAAATCATGCGAGAGGCACAAAACAAATATTTTAAACCACGACACTGGGCTGCAACCTGGTAAAAGTGAAAAAGACAATAGACAGAACTGAATTAGCTGAAAACTAAATTTGATGCAATAAATCATGTCACTTTAGGTTAAGAGTTAACACAAGACTGAATCCTTGACAATAGCATTAATTTTCTTGTGGTCTTAAAGGAAACGAAAAAAAATCTGTGGCAAAAGAACCAGAAAGACAATGCTAACATTCTTAATAGCACTTATGATAATGTGTCAGCACATGAACAGAGATACATGCTGTACTTGTTACAGACCAACTGTATCTGGAAAGAATGATTCAGATAGGGTATATTATAAGGGTTGACTAGTCTCCAGGCATGGTGTCTTTCTGGAGGTCTTGGATTCAGGCATCTGTAAAGGCTGGTGATTTTTTCAATGTTGACTAGTAATTTCCCACTGGTCTTTGGGTAGTGAGATTGGACGCCCTTGTGTATCCTTGCGCACGTAAAAAAAAATTGAAAAAAAAGAGTAGCCGAACAATGCTGCCTAAGTAAAACTGAATTTCAAATTTTACCCACAGTATTTGGGATCCTTGCCAGTGCAACAGAGTGCATGCACTGCACTGAGATTCTTCAGACTCATGGTTGAGTTAGAAGTAGAACAGAGCATTTATGGCTTGCACATGTCATGTTGAACCGTCGAATAAACATCACATGCAAGTTTAGCAATATGTCCTTACTTTTAATTTCTTCTTTTAGCATTATTTTTCCGTTAATATTACACATTTCTGTATACTATTCTTGCTTCGCACACTTAAAGAAAAAGTATCTGTCTGCAATGTCTCTAGTATGAACTTCATGGTCTTTTGTGATTCACTTAGCGACCTGTAGTAAAGTTTGACTTGCACCGGTCTTTCTCTTGGACACAATTTTGACTTGATATGTTTGTTATTTAGGCAGGTCTTAGGACGATCTGTTTTGTCTCAGGTGCCAATCCACAGGTGCACACTGAATTCTGAAAGGGCAATTTTATTTGTGATGTTTATGTGGTAAGGACCTGCAGAGTTCATATTTAGCTCCGGATATTTTGTATTGCTGTTGCTTGTGTACTCCAGTGTTACTTTCTTTACATAACTTACAAATTTATCATTTATACACGTTTTCACTGGTGCGTTGGAATTTGCTGCCTTTACACTAGTTTTGAAGCACTTCCATACTGTACTGATATTAACATCTCTATTGTCTCATACTAATAGTGCATATACAGCGTTTCTTTTAAATTCTTCATACTATTCTTTTTTTGTCGCTATTCCCAAATGGAACAATGCTAAACTAATTCACTCCAGGTTGTACTACCCTTCACTATCATATACTTCCTTTCCCATCTTTTTAAATTTCTCTGTAGCGATCTCCTTGTGCTTTTGGTTTTTATTTTCATGTCCCTGTAGGCTGCAGTGCATATGCTTATTGTTAGTATTAAAAGACTACTTTTCCTGATAAGAATTACATGCACATAACTAACAAACAAGACATTGAGAGACTCCTAGATTCGGGGTATTTTCAATTCCTGCAGCCTAGGTACTACAAACATGACATGTATACATGCAAGTATATATAAAACAGAACAGAATAAATGTTTAATCTGCACGTTTATTAAGACTGCAGAAAATCCACAAATAAAAAAATATAATTTTTAACGCTTCCTGCGTAGCGATACAGTGTTGTGTTTCTTCCAGTACTTTCTCCTGGATCCACCAATGGTCTTGTTGAATTTATGGCCCTTGCCCAATCCACGAGAGGACTTTCCGGCAGAAGTCAGACCACGAAGTTCACGGTGTTTGTGCACTGCGTTACAGATCCACTGGATTGCTGGATCACGGCGAATGGTCTTGTGGAAAGGATCCACGAGGATGACCTCAAAGAATTTGTAAGTGGAGTCTTGTCCAACCCAGTATGAGTTGAGAACACGCAGGGCACTACACTTGCGACCAACACGCTCCTGAAACAAGTGGAACAGAAAATATGAAGGTTAAATTTCATTGATTTATTATAGTTGTCGAACAAAATAATATTTATAATGCATAAGATCAGAAATGTTTACTGTCCTCACTGTCATTCAGAAGACCATCGTGATACAATTCATCATGTATGTTGAACATTCAAGTGGCACAGTTCATGTAATGAAAATGTAGTTATTCATACTATTCATACTAACTATTAGTGTCTGTAGTTTAGGCACTGCAAATGCTCTTTGTAATACCAGGGTGCTGGGTTTGATTCCAACAGTAGTAGCAAGAGCTGACAGTTCTCAGAAAGAATGACAAAATAGTGAATGCAAAAAATGCTAGGGTTGCCTCTGCAACGTCATGTAAAGGATACACCAACTTTAACTATACTAGCTATGTAGGTTAAACACTTTATAAGAATACTAAACTGCTGGGGAACAGAGACACCGAAAGTATTTACCAACTGGCACACTAAAATTACAATATGTTTAATGCATGAGATCAGAGATGTTTACTGTCCTCACTGTCATTCAGAAGACCATCGTGATACAACTCATCATGTATGTTAAACAAGTGGCAGAACATGTTATGTAATTTTTTTTTTTTTAAACTGGCTGTCCGACTTAGGCACTTTGTATTACAAGGGTGCCAGGTGTGATCCCAGCTGCATTATTTTCAACAGTGGTAGCAAGAGCCGACCGCTCAGAAACAATGGCTAACTAGTCTATGTGAAAACTATACTTAGCTATTTAAACTATAACTATGTTTTAAAAGGAATGTGAACAGCTGGGGAAATTGTCATGGAAAGTATTTCCGACTGGCACCCATAGATGCAAAAAAAAATATCTATCACTTTAAGCTATATTCATCAGTGTCAATTTAAATGAGTACACTAGCATTGATGGTACCAGATTAGTTGCATTATTGTCAACAATTGTTTTGTACCATTTGACTACAGAAAAAAAATTTGTGCTACAGCAAATCTGCACCCATGAACGCGCACCATTGATGTATTAGGACACTATCAAGGTATACTACCATAGAAGTGAAAGAAATCTGACAAAGGCTTTGTGTGTATCAGAGATAGTAACTTGTCCTCAATCTTATTCAGAAGACCATCGTGATAAATTCATCATTTACACAGAAGCGGAAGCATGTTCAACTAGCTGAGCCTCTAATCTATGCACAGAAAAGTTTATTAGGTCTGTAAACTTCTTGGAGATGGTCACCTGCCAGAACAACTTTCCACCAATTCTAGTTCAACAAGACAAATTACAGAATTATCTTTTTAGTTTTTAACCACAACAATTATTATTTTTTGCACAACACTTTCTTCATATCCCCTTTCTTTAGCTCTCCAGTCCCATCTGCTTTCAATGCCAATGACCCATCTTTTCCAAACCACCATGACATTTGATGTGACAGGGTGCTGTTTATTAAACCAGTTCTCCGGTATCCTATACTGTTTAATCTCTGCATTACAGCCGCCACTGTTTACCCAATTATTATAAATCAGAAATTTTTATTTTCAATATGTGGTTGGCGTGCTGTATTTACTGAGGACATTACATTTTTCTAAACCATGTACACTACTGGAAAGGAGAACTGTCATCTGTGAGTTCTGGGACAGTATAACCAATCTTATTTTTTAACCAATGTTTTACATGACAGAAAACAGGCTGTGATAATACAACAAACTGATGGGCAGACAAGAAAGCTGTTTCAGAGATTTGTGATATCCTCACATGCATTCAGAAGACCATCGTGATAAAATCTCATCATGTACACTCAACAACCATTACAAATATAGATCTGGGACACTTACTCCTAATACATTTCTAATAGTTCCAGGCAACATATTGTAAAATTGTAAACGCTGATTATGGATCTGCTTAAAGCCGATATGGCTGGCTAAAAAGTGGAATATTTTACCGCCTAGTGGTAATCAAATGTGCAAATCACCCTCTAAGAGAAAAAAAGGGGCCATCTTTCAAATTATCGAGGCCGAAAATATACCCTAACAGGGCCTCAATCACATGTCAATTGCTAAACTACCGGCAACTTAAATTGCGCACTTCCAGAGACTTCCGCCAAAGCTGAGTCTCTCCCCATGGCGCTCACACAGCGTGAATTGACGTTTAACTAGATAGCTGGGACTCACAAGCAGCAGCTACATCATCTCCTGCAGCTTCCCTCATTTTATTTGCTCGTGAGTCCCAGTCAGTTGCCGAAAGTACCCAAATCGGGGATGGTGGTATAGTCCCTGGAAGTACACAATTGACATGTGACTAGGCCCTGTTATGGTATATATATTCATTCATTATAATGTAGGACCGTTATTCGGAAGATAGCAGAACCATGCTTTAGAAGGACAACTGCTTTGCTTTAAATGGTGAATTAAACAGTACCAAAAAAAAAAAGGGATTAGGAATCAGAGATTTGTTGATGTCCTCACATGCATTCAGAAGACCATCGTGATAAACTCATCATGTTCACAAAATGCTACAGAAGCCCAGTGAATAAATTGACCGTCTCCTCCCCCCCCCCCAACACATTCCCAGAAGTTTTTTAACTTGAGCAAGCAGTTAAGTTTGATTTTTTTTTTTGGCTCTCTTACCTCAGAGAATATCTCCTAGACGTAAGTAAATATAAAATGATTTCACGTATTTTATTCACACAGATCTGACACCAGTCTTCATATTGCCTAAGACTTCTGTTTTATTCAGAGGCTCCCCAAGGGATATATACTGTATTAAAATACCAATGCCTATCTGCCTAGAAACTGCTGCAATAAAGCCAGCCGCTGCTTTAATGAAGAGAAAAGGACAGGGAGGCAGGAAATGGGTTCTGTATTTATTTTACACTAAAAATCACTGTGCTATCATGTGATTTTAAATACGTGACATCCCTGCAGGGACTAACATGTTCATGCTGACGAGGTTACATACTGTGACAAACTGGCCAACAGAACCAACAATAGGCGTCATTTACTCCTAGATATATTCAACCAATCAAAAATAGAATTTTGGTACTTTTCACGTGCAATGCTGGCTTATGTTATTGTTAACATATCCAAAATAAGCATCTTTGCTTGTGCAACATTAAATGCTCAAGCTGACATGGTAAATTACATTTGTGTAATTTGAACCAGTACTCTGCACAGCAAAGAAGCAGTTGTAGGGCGACAGTATCCACACCAAAAGTAACTACAGAATAAATGCACATTACATGGAGCTATTCATTCTCTAAAAAATTGTAAAGGGTTTTAAGGACAAACAAATCACCCACATACCTCAGCGGTGCTTCTGTGTGAGCGCTGGAACTTCAGCTGGTTGACACCATGAGTTTTGGGTTTACCATAAGTGCAACCCTTGGGCACAGGTCGCTTACGGCCACCACGCTTGACTCGCACACGGTAGACAACGTAGCCTGCAGAGTTGAAATAACAGGTTGTATATACTCACAGAAACAGAAAGCATAATTTACATCATGCGCTCCAAGGGATCAGAGATTTTGTTGATGTCCTCACAGTACTCAGAAGACCATCGTGATAAACTCATCATGTATAATTTATTAAAAACTACTAGCACTGTTTATAGCTTTTCGCACAATAAAAGATCAATGCCCGGCATATTCACTCAACACTCCCACCCCCGTTTTCAAAGTCCCAAGCATGTTACTGTAAAATATTTTCATCGAACCACTGTGTGGTGTTGGTTATCATGTCTGTCCAAAATCTGTATCTTGTACATTTAATCAACTCTGAAACAGATGATCCTCAATGTAATATCAAACTGTCCAGCATTTTTACTCTTGGTTCCCCCCTCTGCTCAAACTTTACTACTGTCACGATGTACTCCAGTTTTCTCATCACTTTAGCAAAGAATGTCGACTGTCTGCCTCTGATGTGGGCGATCAGTTCCTTTTGTCAGTTACTAAATGAATGTCTTTATGACCTTTTATTTATGTCTGGGTATTATTTCTCCCTAAGTAATTAAGGTTGACAAGAGTTGGTCAACAACTGACTGGGCAGAAGGAATTAAAGTAAAAGCAAACACTGACAAACGAAGGTTATTTGCTTGGGAGTTAATATGGGCTTTCCTCCGACTAACGGTAAAGATGGCGCCTCAAAATATCCTTTCAAGCCACAGTCGCTTGTCAGTTGCGCACTAGCGGTCACGAGAACACCGCGACTGCTGCTTGTGTGTCCTGGCTATCTAGTTTAACTCCATTCCACGCCACATGAGCAGCAATGGGGGACACACAGCTGTGGTGGTAGTCGGCGGCGCAATTGACATGTGACTGGCTCAAAAGGATATTTGAGGCCGCCATCTTTACCTAGTCACTTTAGTCAAATTTTCAAAATGCCCTCTACACCAATAAAACCAGCACAGTTAGATAGCTGTAAACAATCTCTTTCCAACGGTACCTCATTTAGGCTTGTATGTCATTTCTGAGCTGAGATATGTAGGTTTTTGTGGAGATAAGATGTAAAATCAGCTGTTTAAACGTGCATCCTAGAAACAAGAAGTTTTCTCTGCGCAACCATAATGCACTTTCGTTTTGGCTTTGTTTACATTTGACAATTTTTTTCAGACACGGCCACATAATAGCAATTGCCTGAAAAATGTCACTGTAAATCTAAAAAGCCACTGATAAGAAATTTTATTTACAAATGTAAAATGGGACGGAGAATTCAATTATAACTAGCATTACCAGTACGAGTAACAATTAAAGCCTAAAGCCAACCTTGAATACTTACCGCTATTTTCAATCAAACTGATTTTTCAATTATTTTTAGGAGGTGAAAATCACACCAATCGCAATATTTCATAAGAGATTAGGCCCCATCCCGAAAACAGCAGACATTTCCCAAACAAGTTTCGAACTGTTTCCAGGGTAACGGAAATTGTCCAAAAAAGACCGCAAATTGTCGAACCCCGTAGTCGCTACTTTACCATAGTCAGAGGATAGCCTATATTAACTCCCAAGCAAAAAATCATGCATTTGTCAGTTTTTGCTTTTACTTCAATTCCTTATGCCCAGTCAGTCGGATAATAGCCAAAATATGTATAGCTCAAATTTTGTAATCTTGGTCAGCAAGCCAAGGTAGCAACTGTGCTACTTTAGTAGCCCATTATCCATGTGTGGATTTGGGGCCCTGTTATAGGGAAAACGAGAATAGGCCTACCCAAAAGCATGTTGTAGGAGTCGACTAATTGGGAGCTTCCTTCGAAGTCGGAGTGCGTCTGATAGAACAGAAATGCAGTCCAGGAGTGGACGAACAACCAGAACTTTCCGCCATAGTTTACAGCTGGCGACTGCGAAGGAGTAGCTCATTTAAAAAAACGAGTTAAAACGAGTTTAAATATGGGCGTACCTTGTTTGGCACGATATCCAAGCCGGCGTGCCTTGTCGGGGCGAGATGGGCGGGAGGCTCTGTGGACAGATGACAACTGCCTGTACTGCCAACAGCGCACACGAATCAAGAAACGCATGATGTCACTCTGTTTCTTGCGGTAGATCTCTTGCATATACTTGTAGGCCCCCATGATGAGTGGTTACTGTTAATAAACAAACACACACACAAAAAACGTTACAAAACTTCGTATTGACGGTCACATCAAATACCTGCAAAGCGAAAATTAGTTTTATATAAATCTTAATCTGTGCCGTTGGTTTGAGAAATAAACTAATCCTAGATAAAATATATTACCTTAACAATTCAAATGAGCATAAAATATTGAATTTGCTTTATACAGAGATAGATTGACTTGGATTATATGCACGCCGACCTACCTTACCTCCTACTACGTTGCTCGTCAGCACTAAAAGGAAAAGATATGGTTCCTGTTCCGGAAAGTGGGGAATTGATGACAATAAACGTTTCCGGGAGCCTTCGCAATATTATTATTTCCGTACATTTCTTAGATCGTTTTCTTTTTTTTTCTGCTGCCTCCTCCTCGTCGTCCTCTTATTCTTCTTTTTCTTCTTCTTCTTCTTATTTTTCTTCTTATTCTTCTTCTTCCACTTTTTCTATCTTTGTTTTTTTTTTCTTCTGTTGGTGTTTTATTATAATTCATATTGTCTGTCAGGAAGTCTTTTGACAGTTTGAGTATGACTTCCAAAACTAACCAGTCGTCTGATATTTTGATTGATTTGGAGTGTATTATTTGTTGCCTATGTTTTCATTAGCGGTTGGACACTGGGCTCTCATCATGCTGGTGATCCGAGTTCCAATCCTCGATAAGATCTGGAATTGTATTATAGTGGCGGGCAAAAAATGAAAGCCTGACATGCACAGTGAGTGGCAGCAGTACTAGCCTTAGACTAAAAATCCCCACTGCCTGCACTGCATTAGTGGTAAACACATACAGTAATTGACATTGAAGGGGGTGGTTTGGGGAGGGGGGCTGTTCAAACTTTACACATGTATCATTCTCCATTTTTTTATTTTCTGTATGTCTATTTTCAATATTCTGCATAAAATAAAAGACTGCCTTACCCTATGCCATGGGCGATGGGGCTTCTCTACATAGGGCTTCTCTACACAGGACTTCTCTGCACATTTCATTGCGTTCGGTTAATTTTGCTTTTTCCTGTTCTGGTGTTGCTGTTGACATGCCTCCATGGTTGTTGTCTGTCGTACAGTGTATTATACAGATTACAAGCCTGGTAGTTTGTCCAGTACTGCCACATTTATGTTGTCATCAAGTGCCTTGTCGATTGACTTTTTCTCTCCACCAATATCTGTCACAGGGTGGCCCAACATGAGGGCTTAGGTCAGACCCGATTCAGACTTGATAAGGCCCTAAAATATGCAAAGCTTTAAATAACACCAGCTAATCTCAGAAACGAAGGTAGAGATATATTGACCACACTCTAAGAGGAAATGAGCAAAGAATTACAAAATAAGCATCGAAATGGTAAACAAACGCTCTGAGAAAAAGAGGACATCAATGGGAAACATTAGGAAGAACATTAATACTAGAGGTTACAAATTCTGGACTGAACTCCGTGTCCGAAATCTAGAGAGCTGCATACAATAGAGCGGAGTAGCGGAATCAAATGCAACACTGTCTGACGTCTAACGACACACAAAGGATGATGATGATTCTCAGAAGACTTTTAAAATAGATACGCCTTTTTTTAAATGGACAGGAATTATACAATCCTCCAGGTTACACTGAAAACTTTTTTTATATAAAGAAGCAATTAAAATACATTAACAGAAAATTGTATTTAAAATATATTACGTTTGTGAGTACATTTGTTGATGGAGGGGGAGAGACTTTGAGACCTGTGAGAAACTAAGCTTAGCGATTGCCTACATCCATCACTGAGGTCACCCTCATCCTCCTCAAAAAAAAAAAAAAAAAAAAAGCTTACTTACTTATTTTACTTAGTCGCTCTCCTTCTATCTTGGGGTGTAGAGGTTTGCCAGAGATATCACCAGACGTCTCTATCAGCAGTTTTCTTTCTGGCTCTGTTCCATTCCAGTCCTCTGTCAATTTGGAACTGTCAGATGTTGATTTACCAGCGCACCCTGGGTCGTCCTGGAGGTCTGGTTCCCTGGTTCTTAGCCTCCCATGCCTACCATGGTGGCCACATTCTCCCATTCTGCATACATGTCCAAACCATCGTAACTGTGACTGATCCACTCGGGTTTATAAGGGCTGGGTATCAAGATCTTGACGTATTGTCTGACTGCGAACCTTGTCCCTTCCTGTCATTTGGACTATCTTTTTCAGCTATCTCATTTCTGAGACCTGAAGCTAGCTTCTTTTAGCTGATGTCTCTGCCCGACTCACACACGTAGGCCAGGACTGGTACATAGTAGAGCAGTAAACAGCCATTTTTGTCTTCTTGTCAATTTCTAATTTTTCTAAGAAACCCTCGGCTTATGCTCTGTGTAAAAAAAAAAAATCACCCAGCAGCTACTTAGCTACTTTTCGAGCAACCAGCTCTGTCTTACGGCGTCCGTGGCTTAGGCGTTGTGAGTCCGACTTGTAATTCCAGCGTACTGTTGCGATCGAAATCCACTGCTGGCTG